GGGTGCATCTCGCGGCGCGTCTCGGTTTCGCGGAGCGGGCTTCTGGCGGGCTGTTAGCTGCCGTTAATCACGTTTAAGTTTCTGTCACTGACTTCTAATTAAAAGCATGGTTGATACCCCTTTAATGAACGTACGGATGTTGAGCCATCTTCACGCATAAAAATGCTTTTTAATTCCCTTACTATTCCCTTTACGGCCCTTAGATGCTTTTGTTACCATTTACACAGCATACAGTAGCAGCCGTTTATCTTCTTACAACTTTTTTTTTTCTTCCTTTTTCTCTCCGTGTTCAGGAAACAGCAATGGTTTGAGTAAACAATTCCCTGGTCTCCTTTAACAACAATTTTTAAGTAACTTGGCAAAAAGGGACATAAGTGATGTCTAAATAGCGTGCTCGGAGGCTCTTCTGGCTGCCGGTAGCCCTTAGCCTGCCGCAACCCTGCTAAAGTCAGTGCTCGTTCCCCGCTCTGACGGGAGGTGGTGAGGAAAGCGAGAGGCCTTGAGGCGTGACTTCTGGTTGGGGTGAATTTGGCCAGGAGCTTTCCTCCAAACGATGGTTTCTTCTAAAACGTCCTTTCTATTGTGGGGTTGCTTCTGACGGTGTGTTTCAGTGCGTTTGTCGCTTGTTGTGCATCTAACAGCCAAAGCGTTTATTGTGATTTACCAGCTGGCACGTGGGAGTTTTATCTAACTTCTCATTTTACTTGACAGCAACCGGTTTGGAAAGACCTTGTCCTGTTTTTTTTTTTTTTTTTTTAAATTCTCAAAAGTTGCTTCTTTGCAACTTCTTTAAATTCTCAGAAGTTGCACCTGGAAGTGTGGGGGGGTTGAATTGAAACGAGTAGAGGCCCTTTGTATTCAGAGTCCGTTACCGCTTCAGCGAGCGGGCGAAACAGAGCATCCCATTCTTCAAGTAAACTAATTTTAAGAAGGATCCTCCAATTAGTCTGAAACAGCATTAATTCCCCCCCACCCTAAATCCTGTCGTCCGGTGGCCGCGTTGGCAGCCTGGCTGCAAAGCTTCGGAGGACGGCGAAGGCGGCTGGGGCTTGCTCCTGGGCGCTGCCTGCTTCCCGCCGTTCTTGCGTGTTCCCGGGGATGATCGGTTCTAGGGCCAGCGCGATCCGTTGAGAAACACTTTTTTGACATGATGTTTTTCTTTTAGGCTTCCTCTTATATGAGGGACGTGCATGATTTGGAGTAGGGGGAAGGAATGAACAATTTCTTCTTTTTCTTTTTTTATTTTCTTGGGGCGGGAAAGCAACTTAAGAAAAATACACTTTTCTTAATAGCTGGTTTCTCTAAATTGTGAAGATATCTTCTAATTTAATTTTAAAGCTTGCTTATATAGGGTATGATGCAATTAAATTTTCTCTTTATCCCCAAATTAGTAAGCTATGTCTAAATTTAATTCTGAGCCCGAAAGCATCGTGTAAACAAAAATGTTCTGTAGTTTCCACTGTGAATGGAAGTGGAGTAATTAACGTAGAGGAGGGAGAAATAAATAAAACATATTCTTATTTTTAACTTTTGTTTCCTGGGTTTTGGAGGAAACCCAAATGCCACCGCATTGTACTGGGGCAGAAAAATCCAAGTTTGAACTCATCTGCGAACTCAAAGGGAATCTGACTCTTCTAATTACAGTGTCTAAGCCAAGAGTCCTACAAAATTTTAAGTGAACAACAAATATAATGAATGATGTTTAGATGTTCTTAATAACATCAGAATAACAAAACAAATTAGCATTGAGCTAGCTCGGAACCAGCCCCACCAGGGGAGTTTTAATGACTCGAGTGCTTGATCAATGCCCAACGCTCCTGAAGGCGTACTTCCGTATTTCCTTGTAGGCAAGATGTCTTGCAGGTGCGGAAAATGTCTGTTTCTTTTTTAAAGATGACTGTGGGGATCCTGGGGGGTCTCTCGAGAGATGGCAGCGTCTGGAGACGGAGCTTTTCTCGGCGGCTTGCAACCCTCCTGGGTATGTTTTAAACAGGGTGAAACTTCAAGGGGGAGAGGAAATAGGAGGTCGCCTATGGAAGCGGAGATAAATGGTTGCTGAACATATGTGGTACAGGGAGCTATGGGATTTACTATGAAAGAGCAGGAAGAAATCCATTAAGTGTAGGGTAAAACCTGCTCTGGAGAACCTGGGAACGTCTGAGGAGATCTCTGCAAGGAGGAGGACCTGGCTTCCTAATGAAATACTATTTAGGAGATGAAGTTTGGTGCCTCTTGCTGCATCGCCTGAGCGCACCCTTCTGCATGCAAGGGATAGTAACAGGGAATGCTGGGTAATTGCCATTAACTTCTGTTTGGTGGCTGCCACAGCCCGGGACGATGAACGGCTTGCAAAGCTGCTGGACCTCGCAGAGGGCTCTTGAGTTCAGAAACGAACGTGCCGGGGCCGTTGCTCCTGCGAGTCCCTTGCACGATGGCTTGCACTGGCTCCTGGCTCTGCAGCGGTGATGCCGGAGAGGGCAGGAACAGAAAGCAAATACTTCTGCTGATTAGGAAATAGGCTGGGCAGAACATAGTTGCCTGAGCAGGAATATGGGGAGCCTGAGCAGCAGTTGGGTCTTCTCATAACCGCTTGCAGTAAAAGCTCCTCTTTGTTTAGCTTCTTTCTTGGTTGGTGCTTGAGGACTCCAAACTGGCTTTTTCTTCTGGCTTCTAAGCAGTCTCCAGAGAATCTTGCTCGGGCAGATTGGAAGAGCTGCAACATCCAGAAATGGGAGTCCTTGTGGACCTCAAGTTTTTCCACAAAGAGAAAAGTCCCAGAGGCTAGTTCTTGGGTAACGTGGAGTCTGCCCAGATTTACCGTCTGGGCTCGGCCCTGTTTGGACGGCCGCGCTCAGTGAATGCCGTGACGTTATAAGCAGGAAGCT